AAGCTGCACAGTAACTTAATGGGATGAAATGCTCGCCTTCAAAATCTAGAATTCTGGGTCCAACTCCTATCAAAACCTACTTCTCTATTTCCTAACTTCAAAAGAATATCCTGAAAGAGTTACTCACTATCGGATAATAATGAAAAAAAATGAGATAAATAAATAAAAATGCAACATACAGAATACATCATTGGTTGTAGCAAATGATTCAGTTGACATAATTTATGGGCTATTGCTAACCTTTAATTCAAAATTAATTGGTTTAGGAAATTCACTTCATTAATTGCTAGAGATGTAACCAATTACAGAAATTATATTGCCATGACCTCCTTACACATATGATTTCGGCAATTATTAATGGCAAACGCTCGATATTCTTTGGGTCGGTTCAACATTGGATTGGTTCACAGGGTTCCAAGACCAGCGATACATTTGTGTCCGCTTATTAATGTGTATATTGTGACTAAAGGTTTGACCCAAAACCACTAATTTCACCAGGGTTACATCAATCAAAATGGTAATTTGTCATGAAATATTTTTTATAGCTATTATTTATTACTCAATCAAGATACTGTTTTATAGCCTTACTGTAGATAGTTATTGTAAGCTAACTTATACAGTACAGATGTTTACATTATTTAACACCCCCTACCTTAATAATTACCATAATTTAATCATACATAATTGTGACCAAATCTGGCAAAATCAGACGCATGTTGTCAAAAACTAAAGCCTTCAAATCAGCTAAAATTCCAATGTTTTGACAAACTTACAGTAACACATGTTGGACTGAAAATATAAATTATATCTTCACCAACTGTCATCGTGTTTTCGCGCAAGTTTGTTCATTGATATCTGACCTTCATTTGATGGCCAGTATTTACCTGTAGTGAGACGGTGATATCCTAGCTAGCTACGTACGAAAGACAGGGGTGCGGTGTAACATACCCAACGCGTGCGCAAACCCTAGGTTTTTCCTACGCATTTACTACGTGTAGACTATGTTAATCCTATGCGTAGCCTAGGAAGCATATGCCTAGGAAAAGATGCAGTAATCTTTCTGTACTCTAATGCATGTTGGACTGAAAATATAAATTATATCGTCACAAATTGTTATCCGTTTTTAACCATTTTTACATCACTTATTAGCTTTTTACCTCCAGATTATATAGGTCTAATAATGTCATTGTGTTTTATGGTACTTAGCATCTTTCTAAATTCCACAATGTTATATAGCGATCAAAGAGCTATTACATGCATAGGTGGATAATTATTTTCAGTTACCTTAAAATCCTATTATCAGAGCCATTGTTTATCATAATACATTATTTTGTTTTAATTATCAAATCAGATTATCTTGATGTTTACAATATATTAGGGAGCTTTCGATTTGTTTGACGATGCGATGCTAGAACGGAATCACTCATGCGTGTCCCTCCTACTGGGAGTCCTACTTCTCTGCATATGTAGATTAGGCCAAATTAAGACCTGCAATAGAATCCACGTGAGGATGAAAACTTTAGTGACGTCATTATGTTTTACGTAACAATGTCGCCATGCAAAAGGCTCAATATTACTGAGTAAAGCGAAACACTTCCTACACAACAACTGAAGGGGGTCATAACTTTTATCCATATACATTTATCTTGGTATGTTTAATGTCCCAGTGTGAGAATGAGAAATGTTAAATTTGGAGATTTTATACAGTATGGAATTAGGCTTTTATTGTAAGACCACTAGTTTTGGGCTCAAGTTTTAGACTGCCCACTTGGGTGCTTAGTCGAAGCATTTGAATCCTTGCTGTCTCCCTCCACCCAAGAGCATACAGCAAACACTGGTTTCACTGCCATATTAACTGCCATGTTTTAATACTCCCAAGGAGATGATTATTTTTTCATAAAGTGTTCGATCCCTTGACCCGGGAAATAAGGTGAGCCTTGACACACCAACAATAAATAGATGAGTGCAGTACAAGCAAGCGTACTCCAACCAAACTTATCTACTACTATTACTTTCCTTAAATTCACTCCTGCTTTTACATTTTAGTGCATGCATATCTAGATTTTGTAATTAATTCTGTAATTCCAAATGTAAAATTTAAAGATAAACTCTTATATTACATTATATTACATTTATTAATTTACTTTTATTGATTGCATATTTTACTTTTGTTCTGTATAACAATACATAATTAAATTCTACAATGAAAATTTCTTGTTTTACATTAATTAGTTGAGTTATGTTTAAAAATTGTTGTTACTTTTGTGTGTCAAACTGAACCACTTTGGAAACCAGTACATTGTATTGAAAGTGTATTTCAGAATAAAGAAAGAATAAATAAATAGATACAGAAATGGTGCAGATATACTTAGGTACTGTATACTAAGTCTCAGTTATAATTTCTATATAGTAAAAGCATACCATCACTATTATTATGTCTAGTTCAATCACAACAGAATACTCCACTTAAATAAAAGCCCCTCCCCTCCCCTCCTCCCCCCCACAAGAAGGCGAATTTATTTTCTGTTCAGCTGAATAATTCATAATGTACATGCTGTAAACTAATTGACATGAATGACATTCCCCTAATTAGAGCTAATTACAATACAATATGAATCTGCATCTATTGACCAGGATAACAAACTAAAAGCAGAGCAGGTGAACACAAGAACATTATCATAACCGATTTTCAACCATATACTACAATTTCGCACATGTGAGTGATTGTGGTTGTGGTGCAAACTCTTCAAGCTTTTTAGGCTCACTATTTGGAATCCCAAGGCTGTGTAATTCATTCATGTCCTTTGGCATATCTACTCTCTCCCCAGAGAAGCGTGAGGGTGCACATAATGCATCTTTGCTTATATTATGGATCTGATAACCAATGGGTATAATAATGTTTTAAGCATTTGACTGTCTTCGCTTGTTAAATTCTGTGACTCAACACTTTAAAAGGATGAAATAAACTATGCGTCACTTTATAAACCCATTAATAGGGTTGATAATGAAGTCGAGTTGGTTAGATAGGAGAAATTAGGATTAGAGCCACTGGGCAATGTGATTTGAAGGGCAGAATCTACAAATATCCCTGCAGGCTTCTGCACCCTTCTTTTCTTTTAATGTCTAACTCTGTCCACACTAGATTATTAAATTTCATGTGATAAAGACCCATGATCATACCCATATGGGTGTGAAATGATGAGATCATTATGCCCATATGTGCAAATCACATAAACTTATTGCATAAAACGTTATTAGTATGAAGAGATCTTTGGTTTAGAATATGTCATCTTTGTGGTGTATATTCATTCATTCATAAGACACTTATTTACTTCCATACAATATAGTTTTTAGGCCTTATCTAAATTATTCAAAAAATAAATAAAACACAAATAGATCTAATTAACATCTATAGGTATAACATATATTTTGGTTACCATTACTACGATTACTATTATGATTCACTGTACCATTATTATTAATAATTAATTATAACATTAAGTGTACATTAAACCCCTTTCTTCAGGCTCCATCTGCCTAATTAGGAAAAAAATACTTGGAGGCTTATCCACAACAAGGGGTTATACAAATGACGTAAGCAGATCAGGGAAATTTATTACCTCTTTAAATTAACATAATTAAGGTAAGAATGATTAGAAGAAGTACACAATTCTCTAATGGAGATGTACAACTTATGAACACAAGAAGAGCAGTAATAGAATCGAACCAGGAACCAATGATTTTCATGATTCAGAGCACACTCAGTGGCTACCACTGGATGTTGATTGAATCTTTGATTGGATGACTGATTGATTAGATAATAGGACTGACTGATTGATTGATAGACAATAGACTTTATTTCTCTAAACGGACCTCTTTCAGGGTAAGAGAGAACATTCAGCTTCTTGGAAACAAAAATATATATAATTAACGAGGTGCGGACACCACACTTTCGCAACAGAATGTACAAAACTAAAATAAGCTCATAATTTTCGAAACAAAATTGGCGAGATTAGACTCTTTGTTATTACTTGTGTTAAATAACTGGTACATTTTCATGACATTGGGTCTGGTGTAATAGTACTTTTTTATAAGTCGCTCCCGTTCAATATTTAACAGTGGACATACAAATAAGTAATGAAATTCGTCACCCACATTATTAAGATTACATAGCATACATTTGATATCAATATCATGACAGAGGTATCTTTTATGAACCGGTAGCTTATGATTACCACATCTAAACCTACATAAATCAATTCTATCCTTATTGGGTAGCATGATTAGTGTTTGAACTCAAGTTCGGATTTAATATTTCTATAATTTTCACACATCCTATTACTGTTTAAATCAGACAGCCATCTTGTTTCAATACATAATCTAATCGTAATCCAATGCTTTTGACTATCCATTTTTTATTTAGATAATTACATTCATTCCATACATAGGACATACCACAATTGTCAAGTACACTTTTAATCTTACTTGTCCATTTTGAAATGTATGTACCCTGATCATGTAATCTCTTTAACAGCTTAAACATAATATTTGACAGTTTACTCTGTTTACCCTCCAAAATACGAACCCAGAAAATTAATATTCTTTTCTCAATTGTCACTTGGAATTTTGATCTACCTACTTCACCCAAGACCATACTGTTGGGAGTAGATTTATTTAGTTTTAAGATATTTTTCAAAAATCTTCTATAAAACACTTCAATCTGCTCTAATTTTTGAAACCCCCAGACCTCACAGCCATAAATGAGGATAGGTTATTGATGATTGATTATGATTCATTCACTCATTCTTTCATTAGATGATTATTTAAATTATATGATTAAATGATTTACAGTATTTATTTAATTGATTGATTGCCTTAATAACTAATTAACTGATTATGTGATTCACATTTTTATTGATTTATTGGATAATAATTATAATATTTTGGTCTCATTAATTTTAGCATTAATAATAATATTATCATATGCTAATGTGACTTACTTTTCATCTTTCTGGAGTTGGTTGTAAACACGCTTGTGCTGGGCATACACGACCTCCATCTGCCGATGGACCGCCTCAGAGTACGAATCGTACGAGTTACATCTTGGTCGCATTGTCTGTGGTGAATCACCTTGAGTGGCAGCATCCATTGGTAGATAACCACCATCAGCCATAGTTGTAAAACAGTGGAAAGAAACAGCACCTAAAGAGATGGTTAAAAAACAAAAGATTTAAATAATTACAATAATAATAATAATAATAATAGCTATAATGCCTGGTTATTAATATATAATGTAGAACCTACTAAGGCAAAACATGCTTGACATGTGTTTTACATAACCATAAGAAGGAATGTTTTGGAGTTTTTTAACTTTCTGAAAAATGTTTTACCCTGATTCTGGATTAGTTCAACCGTCTTGTTGTCACTATTGTTATAAATTTATTAGATGTTTCGGTGACTGAATTAAATAAATAAATTATTTGTTGAATGGCTGATTGACTGATTAGAAAAATGATTAATTGATTGGTTGATTAATTCATTAATTCACTGGTTGATAAGAGGAGCTATCTACACTTTGCCCTGACCCAAACATAACAACATTGAATTCTGAGCTTATTTCAATTAAAAAATAACAAAACAAAAAAAAAACAAAAAAAAGATTTCAATTAAATATAGTACAGTATATCACATATGGGATCAATGATTGATTAAACAGTTTATACCATATTCAGCCCATGATGGCTTTCCTTTTCTAATAGTTAATTCAGTCAGTGTATACTGTATGTTATATAACCATATGTTACATTGCATTTGTTTCACAAGCTTATTATAGCTACTATAGTACTGTATAAATTGACGAGACAAAAATTTTGAGTGCTTGTGAGAAATTAGGAATTGCGACAAACAGAGGGTTTTGCCAGAGCCGGTCACATTTTCCTATAACTTAAATAATTACAGTGATTACATACAATTTAAATGTCTATGTAAAGAATACATTCCTGAACAATATCGATTTAGTGTTATATAATACAAAAAAAAGAATAAATCTTTAAATAATTTTGAATTGAAGGCTACTGGCTTAAATATACAATTGTAAGGAATTCAAAAATTGTTGATTGTAATTTACAAGCTTTATTTACTGCATTTTTTAATATCAACCAGCAAGAGTAGTAAAGAGTAAGAAACTGCACAAATAATAAACAGTGCAGATACTAGTGTTGAGATATTAATCCCTATATATTGATGCGGTCCACAGTATGCTTAGCTACAATAATGCACAGCTAAAATAAGGCCTTGTACTCTGCTGTTGTAGTTATGCAAATATTGTAGGTCAAAAAATGACTACTGTAAACCAAGACAAAATATGTAGTGGTCGTCAACAATGCCAACATTATATTATTTAAAATATGATAATATTTAGAGATCATGCAATATGGTAATAGTGAATAAATTTAATATCTCATTATGGTACAAAAAATAAAGTAAACTAAAAGAAAAAAAGGAATATTATATTTCTGGAAAATTCCATGACAGTTGTATAATATATTATTTATTTTTTAAAGTAAAACAAATGCTTAGTATTGACCTCTAATAGAAACAAGGTCAGGTGCATTCTCAATATTAAAGAGAATGAAAAAAAAAGTCAAATAAAAAATTATTGATGACATTTGTGACGACTGAGTTTTCATTGTGAAATGAACTTTATGGTTAAAATGCTTGTTTTCCAATCCAATTCCAGGGTCTCTGGTTGAAATCCAGCAACCTGGATTTTTTCACCCAACATGCTCCACACCAATCACTTGGCATCGCATAGAGACTTAGGTCCTGTTTTAATTCTAACCATATACCTGGTCAATTTGGCCAAAACCTTTACAAAATGTATCTACAATTAGACTGACCACACAAATCTTATCTACTGGTCGTTTAGCCATGGACTCGGTAAAACCTAAGTACCGGTACTTCAATAGTGTGAACAGTTCAAATTTATCAAAGGTATTTAGGCCTACTTTCTCTTTTGGTCAAAATTTATCCAATGTGAACAGGGCTTATGCTTATCGTGAGAGTTCTCACTTGCTGTTGAATGCAAATAATTATTGGAGAAAAAATCTCTCTTGAGATTTAATTTTATATTTACAGGTCACACAGTAATGGAGAATGACTTAACAAATTTAACAAAATTAATTTAAAAAAAATAAAAATGTTAACTTTAAACTAATTTTAACTTTAATGTTATACTTAACAATTTACTAGCTATTAATTTATTATATATATATAATAATAATAATAATAATAATAATAATATTTATTTCAGATTTCTGTTCAATGCGCTTTAGATAAAAAGATAGAATACAATATATAATAGGCAACATTATATACTGAAATTACAAAAATATTATATGGAATACTACAAAAATATACTTATTATTATTAATTACATTATTAAAATAATTTAAAAAAATCAAAATTCAGTAAAAAAGTAACTAATTACATATACATATATATAATATACAATATATAATTTAGATCTTACAGTACCTTAATGACGCGATCAGCTGGGTGATGTGCTATAGCACCGACCAACAGACAACAAACAAATAGCCAGCCACAAGAAGTGAGACTGTCCCAGTGTTAAGTGGCCTCTGCCTGACCCTGTATCTATTCAATGGGGCTAAAGCCAACAATCAACAGGAATCCTTCCCTGAATTTGCTAAATGCTGCAAATGAGAACAGTGCTCTGTTGCAAACGACCAATCAGACACAGAGTGGGGGATTACTCCAACAGCCAATGAATGCTCTATCTCAGATTCTGATAAGTTGAAATAAAATGCATCTTCCTGCAAGAAGGAATTACGCCTTAATCTCGCACACACTTAATACTGTCATTTTGAACAGAGATCTCAATACATAACATTGTATGAAAAAAAGCCTTAATGCTTAAAACTGTACGCATTATGATGTCAAGGAAAAAGACATTTCATACAACATAGCTACTTACTGCAAGCATCTCGCAAAAAGAAAGAAAAAACATCATTTCAAGTACGAGAGTGTGTTTTACAGTACAAACCAAAGCCACGATATATTTTTCCATTGGACTTAACATAAATGGTTTGATGAGACTTTTTTATGATAAATAGATCTATGTTTGGCTTCCAAATGAAAAAGAAAGAATTTGTTTGATCAGACATACAGTATTAGATTTAGTCTGACCAAACTTTGTCTTTTGTTTCTGACAAAAAAAATGATAAAAAGCCTTAATTTATAGTTGAAAAATAAATCCCTGTTTGATTAAATAGCCCCTGAAAAGTGTTTGTATCAAACATTGGATCTATAAATAAATTAACTTGGCCTTCTGACGAACTAACAGACCCTACAGATCAGTTTTGAGAAATTTCATAGTTTAAAGTTAATAATAAATAAAACATCAAATACAATAATTCTAAAATCGATTAAATAAGCATTTGAAACCTCTACATTATCAAACCTTTTTGTGGCTTCACCCACAGAGCCAATTTCAAAAGATTTAAAGCCCACCCAACAATGACCACTTTGCTATTGTCGGGTACATCAGCTTTCCTGTTGGGGACATCGGACCCCCACCCCCGTTGGGCAAATCCTGGCTCAACCCCTGTATTCATCAAATGATTGGAAAAAAAAATATATTGCATTCTTCAGTAATTTCAATTGAAAGAAAGCAAATAACTCAAAAATATAAAACACAAGTAACAGACTGAGAAAAGATGTCTACACCAAATAAAGTAATGTGATGAATAAAAACAATTTAAAGAACTGAACACTTTGAACTATATACTTTTGAACTCTGTTGTTTCGTCTTTAATCTGCATAGATTTCTAGTTTAAATGTTTTCAAATTATTACAAACTTCAGTTACACAAATACCATATTTATTCCAATAAACACCACAGAGCGTTTACTGTTGAGAAGGATTTTTCAGGAGGCGTATATTCGAGGGAGGCATTTATTCGAAGGAGGCATTTATTCGAGGGAGGCATTTATTTTTTTGTGTAAAATGGATACGTATATACTCACGTATAATTACTGCCAAAATGTGTTATTGCAAGACTATAAAGACTTATTGATATTGCACTACATTTTAATAATGATTTTATATTCTTTGAAATTTTTCCAGTCACACAATTCAGCATATGATGCAATGGATTGTTTTTTTACGTGATTTTTACGCAATAAATACTGAATACCCAAATATATTAACTATTGATCTGGAGAAGAACATTAATAGAGTGTGAAGAGCTTCCATTATTTTTGTTTACAGTCACATGAGGGTGTTTATTCAAGGTATAAATAAAAACCCCCGGGGCGTCCTGGGTGCTTATTCCAAATGAGGCTTTGAAGGGGGGTGTTTATTCAAGGGGAGAGTTTATTCAAAGCAGATGTTTGGATAAACACTATATTTTCAATATAAAAGAAAAATACCAATTCCAGATTAATATTCTTTAGATGAAATACCTGAATAGTTTGTTAAAAAAAAAAAATTTGATTAATTAATCTATTATTGCTTAGACTCCGGTTAATGTGGTGATCAGGCACATGAAGAGCATTCATTTTTTCCTCTTTTAAATGACCTCATCACATTTCATAAACTTTGTCCATCATGACTTCTACCACCCAGAATCAACAGTTTGAAGAATATCCCCATATTCAGAGACATTGCACAAAACAAAAAGAAATGAAAACAAATAATCCAAGAAATAGCAACAAAAAAAAAAGCGCCAAGGCATGTAAGTTAAGCAAAAGTCAAGCAAAATAAAAAAATAAAATTAGTAAATAGTGGTTAATATTAATAAAGTCCATGCTAACTTACATAGTACCAACCCCTCTATAGTAAACTACATTAAATTCTAGTGGTTCATTTTTGGGGGTTTTTTTCTCACAAAATTTTATCCATCAACATTTCTTTATAGTCACATAATTAAATGTGAGACTAGGCTCCTTGTTACAGTCACATAAAAATAAAGTAGACTCGCTGTAGTAGTACATAAAAATATAACATAAAAAAAAATGCTCTAGATAAACAACATCGGATCATAACAAAAATAAAAAATATCAAGCTGGAATTTTTAAAAGACATGGGAAGGGGGATAAGCAGTATCAACAAACCATGAAATTTCAAAAATTGATTTTCTGTCAGTAAAAAACATCAGAAACCATACTCCAGCAGTTGACTGTGAAAATGAATGAAAATCACAAAAGTAATTAAACGGAAATAATTTTAAAACTCTTGCTAAAGGTGATTGATGGTCAATTGATTGACAACAGATTTACACATTACAATCAATGATAAAGGCTAAACTTTACATACAACACAAAACTCCCAGCCCCACCAATCCAGTGAAAATAGAAGCTTGCGAGTTTGCAAGGCTTGTGCACTCATTTTTAGTATGCCACGCAAAAGGACACAATCATTTTGAGCGAAAAAGAAGCAAACATAAGCAGAATCTGAGCTGATACAAGGATGGTAGATGGTAGCTCAGCTGTATTTTACACTTCATGTCCAGCAGGCTTAATCCCGGATATACCAGCACAGATTAATGTACAAAAACAGTCCACTTGAAGTATTAGCATTGTTGCAGAAATATGAAGTGTTCAGAAAATAAAAGGCTTGAGAGGCAGTTACCAGATTACCGTAGCAATGAACTCTCACAAATCAATATTCAATTCCGAAGGTCATTAGTCACATAACTAATTGAATGAATTAATGAAACATAAGAGATTTCTTGCTGTTTATACCAATAAGAAAGAAAATATTATTAACAGCTTATGAGAAGCAAATAATTAATGGTTTGGCCACCAACGACACATTTGAAATCAATCCAAATTATAGAATTAAATTTATTCAATCAGCTAGGGGAATGTACTATCTAAACAGCAAATCACTGTATATTTATATTTTGGTTTTGAAATTGTAACATCAATGCTGATATTATTAGATTTGATGGTAGGGGATTTATTTAGAGGTAGATATTCCAATATTTCAAAGGGGATATTCATGAATTTACTCATTCATAAGTGGGAGGGGGAGGAAAGACTAGATAAGGTCACCCTGGGGCCTCAGGTGGGATGTAGTGGCAGAGCACCAATGGAGGTCTGGAGTGAAGCCCAGAAACTTTGGCAATTCTCAGAATTAGGAGTTTTAGTCAATACCTACTGATGTGACCTGAAACAAATTTTAATGAAAATATAAGTATTAAATCAAAATATAGACAATATAAATTTAACTAACCGAAATGTGTCCAACAGAAACTTGAAGATATAAATGGATCTGTTACCAAATCTGGGGAGAAAAAAATTAAAATATTTAATAAAATAATAAAGTGCTTGTTTAAAAGAATCAACTAACTTATTAACTTGTAACAAATCACAAAAATATTAATTAAAATCTTCTTTTGTCTAAGCCACAACAAAAAGATTTGATTTACGTAAAGCAAGTTTTAGCAAATTTACCAAATAGGTGTTTAAATTACTGAACTGATGTTTTCAAAAGTGGAATGGATCAAAGGTTTTTCATGTACATATGACATTACTTAAAAAAGGCCCAACGTCTATCCATGCCGAAGTTGAGGCTCTGGGGGGGGGGGGAAGCTGAATTAGACAAGAATGTTTGACAATCTCATCAAGTCCAAGCGATCATAAGGCCAGCTCAAATGGCATCATTCTACGGCCACCTCAGACAGCGTCGTACGACATAAGGGACATTTTAAGCTGTTGTGAGAAATATTAAACATGTTCAATATTCTATGAGGCGACTCTACCCAACACAAACCATCGCGTCTGTGTTAAACTCACACAGACCCAACGCAACAACAAATTGCTGTGGGCTGCATTACACAATGCTTTCTGAGTTAGCTTTCAACAGTGAAGCTCTGGTGGAGAAACTAGAAAAAATTAGGGCATATAAAGCTGTTATCACTGATGATTATTTTTATTTATTTATTTATTTAATTCTGTCTTTTGTGTGATTACACTTTCAGTGACGTAGCACTGGTATCACAAGTGGATCACAAGTAAAAAGAAAACCAAAATGAAACAAAGAAATTGAACTTAAAACAAAACTAATGAGTTAAAGAAAAACAATATGTACATAAATATAAAAACTACTGCATCTAAAACAAAATTACTTAAAACTTACAACAAAATTGAAAAGGAAAAGGCAAAAAGAAAAATCTGTAAAATTTTGATTCAATATTTTGTCTAGAAGAGAGTAATTAGCTAGTGTTAAATTATATACTGCATCGTTTAAATGATTTTCAAAAGACTATATACAAAGTTCATCATATATCGTTTTAATTTCATTTGGAAGGCTGTTCCATGCTTTAGTTCCACAATATAAAAATGTACTTTTGTCTTGTACCCAATTCCATTTTTGTTTAATCATGTTGTTATTAGACTTATTCCTAGTACATTGAGGGTGATTACTGTTATTAAATATAGATTTATTACATAAGTAAGATGGAGCCTTTTCTTTTAGACATTTGAAAGTTAATATAGAAGATGTTCATTCCATGTCGACCAATCTGATCCATCCCAACTCATTCATGATTGTAAGAATTGGAGTATGAATGTCAACAGATAAAAGAATTCTTCCTAGCCTATTTTGAAGAATTTTAAGTGATTATTGGTTGTATTGGACCAAATGCAATCACAATAATCAAATAGCGGCATTACAGTTGCATTTGACAACATATTTGTAGTTTTAAAGGAAGGTATTTGAAATTTTAGAAGACATATTATCAATACACAAGTCCCAAGTATAAAAAATGCACCGATATAGCCAGGCATACTTGAGGCCGACATTGGGTTTGACTTGTCCAGCGGTGGCTCAAGCCTCTTTTCCTGGTGCCACACTGGTGACACTGCTGGTCATTGCCTGGATGACATCGCTTCATTATCTCATGATATTCATGATTTCCACTTTGCTATTCACAGCCAATCACAGACGTGGCCGAGAAATCACAATTTCTTTCTATTTTAGCAGGTAAAGTAGCTTGAAATGCATGAATGAGTAAAAAACAGTAGAATTTAACCACTATTTCCTCAATAAATTAGTATATTTTTGTTTGCTATTAAATTGTGAATCAAACCAATTATGTATTCCTGCGATAGTTTGGGACATTTGATTTGGCGACATAACTAACTCCACTTCAGGGATAGCTAGGCCTATACAGCCATTTTTTTAAGCGGCTGATCCTAGCATACTGTACGTTTACGTTGGATACTTAAAAGAATCCCTCAGTTGAGACTTGACAACTAGGAATACTGTACTTAGTGTGCACTAAAACTAAGCCTTAGGCTAGGCTGGCCGACATCACAACAACGAAATTAATAATAAACAAAACAAATACCCTACCACCACATGACGGATATTGTACACGGCATTCTTTTCTTCACTCATGTCTCAATCAGTCACTGAGACAACATTGCAAAAACCCACAAATAATGAAAGCCTGGATATGCCCTTATCTCCTACCTAGTAAAATCGATGTCATGCCTTGCAGGCTCGGTGAATCTAGGAGATCCTACAAATGTGATAAATATACCACTGCGGTGGTGTTGTTACTAAATTGCAAACATCACACCTCATAAGGCCTACGTAGCAAAATATGGTAGCTGTCAATATCACTTCAAATTTCGAAGTAATCATATCCACTGACACTATACCTAACACTTCCCAAGGTCTGGACTACCTATATAAAACTTTTGCAAAATTAAAAGATAGCATACATTACAACTTTTATTGATGTTTTGCCGTTCCGTATTTCCCACACTTGCCGTGTTTATATTTTGTTTTGTACTAAACACTACTGACGAGGGCGCTCTTCGCATTTTGAGGCATTGGACACAACGTTTTTTTTTTTCATTTTATAAATCATTTTAATTCAGGTTGGGGTTGCTAAAGAAATTCCTATATGTCACGAAGATAACACAAATACTGTAAAATGATGTTCTGATTATATATTTATAAAAGCATTAGAATAATACGGAAAGACAATGAATTGCGTAGGATAGGCCTACGCACTGACACATCCATTGACCAGTTAGGTCCTTAATCTAGGCCCCTAGATTGAAATATTATCATCATTCAAAGTGATTTAATAATGTTAAAAAAAAAAAGTTCAAACAAAACGATAGCAAATCAATAAAACTAATTAAAATAAGCACTTAAGTTCGTTAAATCAAGCTTTTAATTATAAATTCATTAAGGCTAAGCGAAATGAAAAACCTAAATGCCTGATTGGTATTATTTAAGAACATTATTTAATTTCCTCCTCCTTTCGATTTTTTATTTCTGTCATTTGATTCTGCCGCTTGTAATAAAACTAAAATTACTTTGTTAGGTAAGAAATTAAGTAAGTGTACTGTTTCTATAGCATATTTTGCTAGGTATAGACCCTGAATTTGACTGGAAATCAACTGAATTCTTTTTGTAGTATTACGTCTGTGTAACAAAGATTTAATTGGTAGTTGATAGCATATTTGATCATTTTATTATGAGCAATTCTATTTTAAATAATATTTATGTTTTCTCTATATAAAAAGAATGATGGGCATATCCAACAAATTGAGAACAAGTAGTCTTTTTATTGCTGATTGTATATTCATATATTTTAAATAATTATAGTTTTATCTATTAGAATAAACCAATAATGAAATAAAACAAATTGCAAGAAGAATTTACTATGTAGCGTTTAATATTTAGAAATAAAGAAAGATGACATCAAAGAATCAGGAAAAGAAGTTATATTAAACAAATTAAGTATTGAAGGAAACACTGATATTGTTAAGGTAGGCCTATTGTACAGTATGTTCCGGTTCTTGTTTTCCATTTCGGTGTATTTCCAAGAAGTAACTGGAGAAAATAAACCTGTGGTGAAAACTCTTTAATAATATACTTATGCTGCCCTCTATACAAGTAAAGTAAATGACAGCAGCACTTTGAGACTAACAATATAGAATTTATTCTTTAGTTTCCGTCCACACAGTGGACTTCATACAGTCTCCTGATGAAGTCCGCTGTGTGGACGAAAGCTGAAGAATAAATTCTATATTGTTAGTCTCAAAAGTTCAATACTGTACAGACTAACGCGGCTATACTTTTTATTCATCATGTTGTCTACATAAGTAAAATTTTCATTACCGGTACATCCTCAACTTTTAAGATACAGAATTTTCATAAATTCTGCAAAGCCAAAAGTAATATTCATTACTAATTTCCCCCCTCCCCCCGAACACTTTCCCCTGGTACTTTTCCCCCCGGACTTTTCCCCCTTAGACAATGGCCAACCGGACTTTTGTTCCCCTCCCCCTTTTACATCATGCGTAAATCAAACAAAAATTTAAAGAATTATCATTCTTTTATATTAATCTTTATTAAATCAATTGCACAGGTAACAACAAAATTTATATGGAAAATATTTTTACATATGTAGGCAGCAAAGTATCTAAATAATATATGCTAAGAAACGAATTACCGTACTGAAAAAACTTAAAAGCAACAATTTTACATGACGACTTTTATTCATTTTTTTAAACTAAGATACATTGATTACCTATTTCAATTTACTTAATAATGCTATCCATATAGAATGAACAAGGTTATCACATTTGCTCTTTATAGTTATTAAATTTTTATTATTCTTATTATTGTTATTATTATCATTAACTTATTATCCATACAGAATAATAGAGTAAGAGATTATAATAGCTAAAACACTGGAGCTTCTTTTCAGAGTGGGGTAGGGGGATAAACAGGCTTTAGCCCCCACCCGTCTAAATTAGTATCGAAATTTATGGTTTCTATCTAACCGTCAAGTAATACCCTAGTAAGATGATCTATTAAAATTATTATTTAAGAGAGTCTAAAAAATGTTTATCAAACACACCATCGTCATGAGAGGACCATATTATATACATTCCCATGGTGAGGCTGAGGTAGGTGTTGATTCAAACCATTTGGCATTTTGGTAACCCCTCCTCCAAAGAAAAATGTTGGATCAGCCTCTGCTAGTGTACAGTAACCCATGTAGGAATTATTTGTAAGATGTTTAAGATATGAGAGTGCAATTTCGGGGCACCAATAGGTTCATACTCCCAACATTTTTACACCTCAGCCCCATGTTTGGGCTGAGGTGGTATGGACTCTCATGCACCCATGGGCGCAGATCATGGGCAGGGGACACATTTTTTTTTAAGACGGTGGAGTTGGTCCCCTTCGTCCGCAATTTTATAAGTCAAAAAGATGCCTGAAAATTGTTTAAATAAACTGCATAAATGACCCAGGTTTTAATGAAAGAGGCTGTACGGCCAGAGTAGATATTATAGCAACATACTGGTATCTGGGTCGTGACAAAGTGCAAGCCAGCGAGTCATGCGAACCAAGCGAGCCAGCAACCCATACATTTTACATCTTGTTTTTTTTTTTTTTCAGGTTATCCAGTTTTGCAAACACGTAGGCCTATCTTATATTCTTTGGCCTAGTAGATGCAAATGAAGAACACACCGGGGAGCTTTGTGTAGTCCAGTCATGCGCGGTACATACACTTTTGGACTAAGTTACTTTTTCGAATCGTCGATCCGAAAGTATGCAGCGCTGATAGATGTTGTTATAATACAGATACATATATATATATATATATCATCTTATTATTTATCTTATTAACCATCTTATTATTTATCTTGAACATCGTTCTAACAATTCGGCTCCTAAAGGACTACAATTTCATGTCAGGTCTGGTATTCCATTCGCAGATCGTGACTTCCATTCCCGCTGGAATGGCGTCCTTAACAAAAATGCATGTCGATTAAAATATATTTGTATATGTATTTATATATATTTATATATATATATGTTTATATATTTATTTATATAATTATTTAATTTTTTTATATATTGTTTGTATATTTATTTGTATATATATATTTATATATATTAATATGTTCATAGGACTATATTTATTTATATATATATATATTTATTTGTATATTTATTTCTATAATTATTTATATTAATAAGTTCATTTTTTTAAATATATTTATTTATATATTTATATATATATTGATATATATATATATTTATATATTTATAAATATTGAACCTTAATGATTTCCCCAAATTTTACCACGTTTTATTTTCTGTAGTACAGTACATCAAACATATTAATTAGATCTCTATGGTTACCGAAAATAGCTGATAAAATATCACGAGAATTTGGTGGCGCTTCATTTTGATGTGATGATGATGAATTTTACTATTTAAAAGTGTCATTTCTGGCCATCTAGAGGTACCATACCGTACTATTTCCTCACATTTTCTCACTTCAGCCCCAACCATGGTGGGGCTGAGGTTGGTGTGGCTTCACGGCTTTGAGGTAGGTCAAGTAAATTAAATAAATCAAAGAAAGTGTTTCTTAAGTTTTATTTTCTATGGTAAAATCACTTAGGCCTATATTGATTAGATTCCTGTGTTTGCCGAAAATCCTTGATAAAAGATCATGAGAAATTTGCTGCCGCTTCATTTGACCACCGTTCCGCAACCTACGGGTCGCGACCCAATGCTTGGGTCGGAAAAAAAATTGATGGGTCGCATTATCTCTTCAGATCGTTAAAGCTTTATTTAACCCTAGTGAAGACAAACGAAATTAAATTACGTAAACGAAAGTAGTGCGATATGTGAGTCAGTTTACTTTGGTTATGCGTTATCACAGTTTCATGTTAAAAATATACTATCAAAAGATTTCTACTTCAGATATGACAACTTAAAAGTGTTACCGTAGTTTTGATAATTTCAACGTGTTAGGCTTTCAGCTGCAAATTATAATAAGAAAACATTTTAAAATTTAATGTGTCTATCGGTTAATCTGATGGTAGCCACTGTGTGCGCTGAACCGTGTGGATCTCTAGGCCCCCGGAAGGACCCCATACGAACCCATAAATCTCTGGCAGCACTAGGAATTTATAACATTTCTGTAGATCATTAATTTTTGTAAATCTTTAACTTATTGAAAAATTTGATAACTTAGAGTGGTTTTGTTAAATGAGTAACTCAAAATTTTATTTTTATTTTTATGGGTTTTACATATGTAAAATCACTATAGTGATTTTGTGGGTGATAGCCTAATATCTTTTAATCAATTGACAAAAGAATCAAGTGGGTGGTTCTTCCCGCTATCCCTCGTCCATATAAAACGACGGATGTGATTTACTGACTTTGGATTCGATGGTTCGCTTCTGATTACTTAACATAGGCCTATAACTTGAGCCATGGGCTAAAAAGGTTGCGGAACGGGGATTTAGACTAGGCCTATATAATAGTGATGTGATGATGATGAATTTTACTATAATAATAAAAGTGTCATATGACCATCTAAAGGTACTATTTCCTCAAATTGTCTTACCTCTGCCCCAACCATGGTGGGGCTGATGGTTGTGGACTCACGGCTTTGAAGTGGTAAAGTAAATACATCAAAAACAATATTTTTTAGTTTTATTTTCTATGGTACACACATATATTAATTAGGTCTCTGTGTTGTCGAAAATCTCTGATGAAAGATCATGAGAATTTGTTGGCGCTTCCTTTTGAGTACATAAAGGCAAAAAATATGTTTGTAGGCCTATTGGCCACGCCCGGCCGACCCAAATT